CACCCACCCACGACGTTGTTCTTAAAGGAGAATCTAAATTGCCTTTAAAAATTGTAAAATGAGCATTAAACTTAATTAAAAAAACATGAACCGCCTAGGTTTCTTTCATTTTCACCCTCTCATTTTGGTTTCATCATCACCCATTTCTCTCTCTCATTCCATCATCATCCCTCTCATTTGAACCAAACTAAGAAAAATCAAAGGAATCTATTAACACATCGATTGCTTTCTTCTTCTTTTTTCAAGTTGAACTAAACTAAGACTTTGTTTGGATCGAGGTTAGTGCGAAGTAAGAGAAGGTATGCGACACATTAAGCATATTTGGGAATTCATTTGGGGTAGACAATGGAAGGAAAGTTAAGAGGTAAGTTAGGAGAAAAAGAACTTGAGCCCCTCCAAATCTGGGGTGTAATAGAGGGGAAGGGAACCCCTAAAAACGATACATAAAGATAATTTTATCGATTTATCAATATGAGATGCATAAAAGGAAAATAATTTGTAAGACCATTTGCGTAATTTTATGTGTATTCATATACCTTCCCTTCACATCACTAAACTTTCCAAACAGAGTGAAATAAATTCTCCGTTGGTTCCCATTGCTAAATTCTCAAACAAGTTTTGTATATTATCTTAACTAGTTTCAGGCCCGTGCGATGCACGGATTTGTTTAATATGAAAAAATTGATGTAGGAAAAGAATGCAAAATAAAACAGTAATAATATATAAATAGTCAGTAATGATACAACCTAAGCTGTATATATGTTTGACTTACTAATAAACTGTAAAAAAGAATCAAAATATAATTTCCCTATTATCATAAGAAAATAGATAAAATGTCTCATGTCTAAATGATTAATGTTATAATATTTTGCTATATACCAAGTAATTAGTATGCAACATAAAGTTTATTTCAAAACAAAATATTTAAAGCACATAGAAATACTTGACAAGTATCTATATCTATGAATCAATATAATGATAAATAAAACATCCAGCATAATCATATCAAGTAGTTAGGTTTCTCAACGTGAAACCACCAAAAAAAATATCTAGTGCATACAAAAGTTTACTAAATAAGGTTTTAGACCACAATACTAAATATAAATTTCATACATCATGAATCAGAAAGAGATTCTTCAAAAAGGAGCTTGAACTCTCTGTAGATTATTCTAATTCTCTTTTTCAATTTTGATCTGATTTTACTTTTTATTGCTAGACATTTGCAGAGAAATCAAGTCTACTGAAATTGAGTGCTCGACATCAGATTCCAACAAATTTCTCTTGTAAGGAGTAATGTTATCCGAGGAACAAATTTCAACTTCATTGTCACAAGTGACCGATAGCGAGGCCTGTGTTTCAGTATAACATAATAGTTAGCATGTTAATGAGGTCACAGGAAAAGATGGTTGTACAATTAATATAAAGAATCAAGAAATAAATAGTAAAGCGAAAAGAAATTGGCAATCAATAGTAAAGGCATGTTTATATTATCTATTTAGTTAGCATACTAATAAGATATAAGGAAAAGATTTTTGCACTGTTAATGTAGAGAATCAAGAGAACAATAGTAAAATGCAATTCAAAGTGATAAAGGTGAAAGAAGCAACAACATCAAAAGAGTATTTGAAAAATAAGTATTGTTAAATATACAACAATTTTTTTTTGAGAGTTTTGCTTTGTCAAGTTGTCCCCTTTATTATGGAGAGAGGTGTTGAGCTGTAAGTATAAGTAATAGTTTTGATTATAGTTGAGTCTGGATGGATGGTGTACATATAAGTAATAGTTCATGATACACTTTGTTTGCAAATAAACTTCAGGATACACTTTGTACATATAATGCTTTTGCGATGACATGAATACTTACCTTTCATTTCACCAAAAAAAAAAATAAATTTAAAAAAATACAAACATGAGGAATGAAAAAGTATAGTAATACTAAGTGTATAGACTTACATTATCAAGATTATCTTTCTTTTTGAAAGATTCAGCTTCACCAGTGAAATATTATTGACCTGTCAACTCCTAATGATTTAGAAGAAAAAAATATTACTAATATATATTGCTTAACATCATCTATATATGCAAATTGAGACATAAAATGAATAGATACGTATCTCCATAAAAGAAGAAAATATATAAACTACCTGGTTCAAATCTAAGCTGTCTTTGAAAGCTGCTATCAGATTTTCATCATCAGTCATTTTAGAGACAGAAAATATAGGCCAATTTTGATTGAGATTAAATTCTGAAACTTGAATCTTGAACAAAAGTTTCTTTTTCACCAACACATCCAACTCTTGAGGAAATGAATCATCATCACCTTCATGTGAACGATATAAAGAAGCAAAGTAAAGCTATTGAATTAAAACTTTTAATTATTACAGAAAGGAATCAGAGTGATTACTTTTATCAATCGTTCCCTCAATTCGACTGCAGATTTGTGAATAACTTGTTTAGCTTCACGAGCAAACAATACAAATGATGTAGTACATGAATGGTCAATGACTAATACCTGAACCCCGTACCTGATGAAACTCATAAATTAAAATAAACTAATAATAACTGTGATCTAAAGTGTACGTTGAAGATCCAGACATCCATATATAAAGTATATGATGAAATATAACCTGTGAAGAAACTGACATACATACTTCCACACATACCTTGGGATAACAAATCTTGCGTTTTCATTGCACTTCTCACACCAAAATTTACCATTTTCAGCCTTTACCTTCCTTTGACATTTTTTTTCAGCTTGTACCTAATGTATGTTAGTATTGTGAATAGAACCCTAGATGGGGAAGGGATGGCTCCAAGTTTCTACATAGTGGAATGTATAAATTTTATAAAAAAAACCTTCTTCAAACTTAAAAATATCTTTTGCATAAATACCTAGGTAACATTCACAAAATAGAAAAAACCCTTAATACATATATTATTAATCTGTGTCATAAATACGTAGGCTTAAACAGAACCATAAATAATTTTCTTTGAGCATAAAGGATATAATTTAACAAAAATACATACATAGTTTGAGACATCTCCAACATTCAAAACAGAAAAATTTTGGAAATAACTATGAAGCTTTTGAAAGATGGAGGTTAGATTAGAGAGGTAATTGACACCTTAGAGAACCATTGAAGGTTAGATTAGAGAGATACTTCAGAAAAGATTGCTCTGATTAGAACTTAGAACCTCCATTGTTGTTATCTCTAAAACTCATCCATCAGCATTTCAGCCCTACTCTTCTTCATGTTGATAAACTTTAAAGTGCTCTAACAATAACTTATGACTCGAAGGGGGTAAACACAGTTGTTAGAACTAAATATGAACTAAATACCTGGTCGTTACCTGTGTGTGTCTGCTTCACTTATGAAAGGAACGTTATGTGCAAAGAGATGTGGGTCTCTGTTATAAGGATCAGGTCTTATAATATTGATGTAGGTAAAAGTCTTGTGATATTTGTGGAGATGCAAGTCTGGAAGAGTTACTTGCTATCTGTAGTAGGTGTAGCGATGACGCTGAGCACATGTGAGTTCTTTAGTTTTCTGTATGGTATATTTGAACTATTAACTAATGGCTTGATTTGTCTTAACGATATGCACTCAATTGTTCGTTTTTAACCAGATACTGCATGCACAAAAAAAATTAAGGGGCTTCTAGAGGGAGATTGGTTTTGTTTTGAATGCAAGCCCAAGGAAGAAATTGAAAATCAAAATATTGATACAGTCAACGACAGGTCTGGAAGAGTTACTTGCTATCTGTAATAAGTGTAGCGATGGCGCTGAGCACATGTGAGTTCTTTAATTTTCTGTATGGTATATTTGAACTATTAACTAATGGCATGATTTGTCTTAAGGATATGCACTCAATTGTTCGTTTTTAACCAGATACTACATGCAAAAAAAAAATTGAAGGGGCTTCTAGAGGGTGATTAGTTATGTTTTGAATGCAAGCTTAAGGAAGAAATTACAAATTAAAATGTTGATACAGTCAATGACAATTTCTCAGAAGCTTTAGAAGTTCATCATTCGACAAAAAGTAATGAAAATATTAAAAATGACTTTGATCCTAACTGTTTGCCTGAGTTAGATGCTAAACCACTTAATTTAGAAGAAAAGGTGGCCCGTGAAAGGCCCCATAGCCAAATATTCATATCCAGATATTCGCAACCAGTTTCTACATCTAATCCAAAATTCAAGCAACGGGTTTGACTTCATCTCTAGGAGAAGCAAGCAGTCTTGTAGAAATATTAACCAAAAACATCATTGATTTCATGAATCGTAGCTACCTAAGCATGCTAATGTGCAATATTAACAAATAATAATTACATGAATACTATGGATATCTTACTAACTCATGTTTACAGATTTACTATCATAAAGAAGAAAACATATATGCCACATTAACTCTGAGAATTTAAATTATACCTCTAATTGGATTATAATTGACAGGGTATTTCTATATAAATTCATACCTTTCAACGGGAACTATGGTGACTCGAAAAAACTCTGCAGCCTTCTGATGAACAATATGAAGCAGTGAGGGCTTACCATTTATAAACATCTTATATTCAGATTTTGGGAAAAAACTCAAGGCAGTGCACGAGTCACAATCGTTGACGCTTGGGTACTCAAGGAGAGGCACGAATATTCTGGTCGACGAACACGAAGAGGCGATCTTGGTCGAAGGAGAATTGAAGAAAGGGGATCTTGGTCGACGGACACGAAGCATCGGACGAATCAAGGCGGAGGTCGAATCAAGGGGAAGCGTCGATTTTGGGAATTGAAGAAAGTGGAAAGATTGGTGGTCGACGGAGACGAAGCGGCGAATTTGGGAATTGAAGAAATGATAACAGATTGGGGAAAAAAATAAGTCGGGAATTGAAGAAAGGGGCGATGGCTTTTCTTGGAAAAGAATGAAGTGTCAGGTTGCGGTTTCAGGGGGAAGAGTTTTTATAGATAGATATAGATACTGGGAAGTGAAGCGGAGATTGGAATTGAGTTGATTGCCAGGTGGCGTTTATAATTGTATGGGTCATTTTTGCCAAGTGACATTTTTACCAAGTGGCATCACCAAGGGTAACACTTATTAGTAATAGTATATAGATTTTCCTTATCTTATAGTACGTTCATTTAACAAAAGCTACGAAGCAAACACGAAAATTTTCCCCATTATAGTTAAGAAAACACCCAAACAATAAAACAAATAAAAAAAATAGGTGAAAATGGTTTTTCTCTGGAATCTGTACTTTCGAGTGACTTCCACACCAAAAACCCAGGGTTTTTTTTTTCCTCCGCCTATTTAAAACCCCCTCATCGTTCTTTTTCTTTTCCGCCTTTTTCCAAAGAAATTGAGGGAGAATGGGAAAGGGCAACGATCCCTGGGACGATTCCGCCCTCACCGACGCCTTCGATCGCGCCATGTCCACTTACAAGGTATCCTCCTCCTCTTAACGTTTCCTGTCGATTCGATGAAGGGAGCTGTGAATTTGTCACAAATCAACCCTAAAGTTTTGAGATAGGTGTTATGCACAAATTCTTAGTTCTCCAAAGAAATTAGGGATTTTTAGCCCTTTGGCTGGAGCCGCACTGTGAAAGTTTATACGAATGAAATCAGCGCATGCTGTTTCGTTCTTTTTGAAGCGGGGGGTAATTATACGAAAACCGTATTTTATTTTTTTCAGTTTATATATAGTTTGTGTTGCGGTGAACCACCTCCCACTCACAATTTCACTAATAACCCAAAAATACCCTTGAAAGGTTCATTTTGTTGGTGTTTGGGACTTATTAGGGGTGCAAATCACGTACCCGGAACGTGAATTTTGGGAGGTTATTTTTAGTTTTTCAGTGAAATTTTGAATGGGAGGTGGCTGATCGCAACGCAAACCCGCTCGAAAGGTTGTTTAGGTTTATATTTTTAATACAAGGCGGTTTCCGTACGATTACCCTATTTTTAAAGGTGGTTTCTAGGGCGCAAAAAACCCTGTTTGTTAAGCTTATACTTTTCTGCTTGCAGAAAATGCACTTGAAGGGTAATCATGGCGGTTCTGTGAAGGAAGGAAAGCATGCGAGTGATGGAAATGAGAAAGATACTGATGTTATTGGCAAGGCTGCGGGGTAAGTAAGAAGTCCCTTTATTGTGGTAGGCTTTAGCGGATGATATATCATTGTCCTCAAGTTCATGCTATCTTTAGTTTCATTTGCAGCGTGTCTAGGGAAAAGAAATCCTTGAGCTAGATGATACTAGTATCAATGTTTGTGCCCTCATCACCAAACATACATTTTAGTAGCTTGTAATTATGTTTGCATCTACCGTAGCAGTTTGCGTGCATTTTGGACCTTTCAGCAGAAATGGGAGGCTGGGTTGTGTCCTTGGAGCAAACAGAGAAATAGTGAAGCATGTGTTTGAAAACTATTGATCTCCGACTAGACATAGGAGACCCACACATTGTTTCTTTTTTGCTACAATTTCTGAGATTGACATAGACATCAAAAGTACATAAAAAGCAGTATGAATGCCGTCTTCATTTTTGCTTGATTTCTTTTTGTTACGATCATGTGAGCAAGAATTCTTGTGTTTGTATGGGAATAGATGCAGGTTGTATGCTTTGGTGGTCTGCGACTGCAAGGGATATCATTTGAGCGGTGAATGGAGGTGTAGAGATGTGTGTCTGAAACCTTTCATTTAGCGTGAAGAGAAGAATACTTACAATAAGTTGTGGTAGAAAGGCAAGTAAAACTATGTAATAAGAGAATAACAAATTTGTAGATTTCAAGGGAAGGTTAATGGCAGGCGTCATAGGCCTTGGGAGACACTTTTAGTTTTGTTTGTTTATACCTCTATTTAGACGAAGATATATTTATATTGTTTATCCAAGCAGTGTTATCGAGGCACGAGGCGCAATGCGGGGCGCATGCGCATCTTGCGCAAGACGCACAACGATGCGCGCGCCTCACTGAATTGAGGCGCATAACTCAAACTGACATTTTCCAACATAAGACAAAAAATCATATAAGCAACATATTTATAAATTATAACATAAAAAAACTAAGAAATATAATTTCACATACTAAATCACGAAAGAGTCTTAATTAGCACGCATAACATAGAGAAATTCATAAGTTTTCACAAATCACAATGCAAGATAATCTCCAACATAAGCAAAAGTCTATGAAACAAAACAAGCAAGTAACAAATAAGAAATATGTATTTTCATTTAAAATTGATATATGTATTTTTAAGTAACAATTAATTGATTAACAAATATGACTGTTCATAATTTTCTAGTTAGCATTCTTAATTGCTATTTGCTAGTTAGCATGAAAAGATGGAGAATGAAGATAACAATTACATATTTACATGTTCATAATTTCTAGTTAGCATGCTAATTAGAAAAGGAAGTTATTGTTAGCAAACAAGTATACTAAATTACTAATTACTATTTCCTTTTTATAGGTTAAACATGAAAAGATGGAGAATGGATTAACAACTAGCAAGAAAGAGTCTATTACATGATGTACATATGTAATATGTAAATTATTTATTAAAAAATAGAAGAAAGAGTCTATTACATGATGCAAGTGTCAAGCACACATGAGGCGCACGCGAGGCGCACGCGAGGCGCACACGAGGCGCACGCGAGGCGCACGCCTCGTGTGCGTGCAGCGCCCCGCCTCTGGTGCGGGGCGCAATTGCCCCAACCCACAGCGCACCTCGATAACACTGTATCCAATTCTTGTTGCGGAACTACACGTAAGCATTCATCCATACTGCGGGAAATGATGCATTATTCTAAGTACCTGAAGCCCAAGTTTAGTTACACGTGAGCCTGAACTCAGCTGATGCAACACGACTTCTTATTTAGTGACAGAAGAAAAGTTCGACCAAAATTTTATTTGTTTTTTGTTAAAACGTTTTTTCTTTAAATTTGCGCTCTATCTCTCCTCCCTCCCATCCACTTGTGTGTGTCTCCATTTGTATGAAGTCTAGAGTTCTAGGCTAGGTAAAACATTGAAACTTACTACTTGCTTTTGAATGCTTTTGTGAAATTTGTTGTAAAGTTCTTTGTTGTATATGTGTATATATGTGAAAAAAATGGACAGTTGATGACTCATTTTGCAAATTGAGCTACCAAGATATAGATCAGCGGAGACACCCGCTATGTTAGTCACATCGAAAGTGTGGACCTCACCACTTCAATATCTTGGTAGATTATTTTACTAAATAAGATGACAACTCCTAACCATTATCCTACACACTACTACACACATTGAAACATGTGGACCTCACCACTTCTGTCTTTGTAGTTCATTTTTCTCGACGAGGTTACAACACATAACTATCATACTAAATATGCATGCACATGTGCACATGACATCCAACACAATATCCAGTTCTTAAGTCATTTTAATTTTCTTTGAATACGCAGAATGATGCTGAACATCATATTACTTATTTTGTTTAATATTCTTTGTGAAAAGGCATGTAGAGCCAGGAGATGAGAGCAACAAGATATCCGACAATACAAAGGAGACCTTCGTGCCCTATGACAACCAGGAAATGGCTACTAAAGATTCTAATCAAGAAAATCATTTTAGTGCAGGTGAACATGTCCCAGAATCTGGTCCTTGTTCATCAGGTTTGCCTCCCACGGATGAAAATACTTATGACTATTCTAATCAGCAAAGTGTGGATTATGCTCAACTGTGCAAGCAGTATTATGAACTTGAGGATCAGAAGCAAAAGCTTCTCCAACAACTTCACCAAGCTAATTATTGGAACTACCAGACTCCAGCATCAAGTTCCACTTACCAATTACCCCAGCTTTCTGAATACAATGGGTCTGAATATGGCCCTCAAACAGCATGCTCCCTGTGTTCATGCCACTGCATAGCTGTCCCAGTGGTCTCAACTGCCTGCACTATGGGTGCAGTATCCGCTGGAGGTTACAGTTGTCCTTCACATCTGGCTTGCTGCTCTGTTTCGCAGGCACACCAAGTTCCAGGTGATAACTCTTGGCTCAGTGGAGCCTTTTGTTGTTCAGTTTGTTATTGATCTAATCCTACCTATAAACAGGCAGTCATTTTCCAGTTGATGATGGTCAAAATGCCACTGCCACTGTCAAATGTGTAGAGGATCCCGTGAACGTTGCAAGAGCCGATGACAGTGCTATCAAAGCGGGGATGTGGGCTGTGGAAAGGGCAATAAATTCCATGAAGTTGGAACTGTCTGCTACTTCCAATGATGGCAAAGGTAAGCCCATATGTAAGGAATTTACAGAAATCATTTTCCAAGAGTACATTTTTTGTTTGTGATGTTTCTCTGGTGTTGGCACTGTTAGTTTCTACTTCTGCTTTTGTTATTTTACATCTTTTGTTCATTGGTAAACACGGAGGTTGATATGGGCACAGGTTTATATGTTCACTTGTACTTTGTGGAGAGATGCCTTATGTAGTTAATGATCTCTTGGCTAATGGTTTTTACGGTATAAAGTTAATCTTCCTTAGGTTATTTTCTTATCATTTTTGCT